CACCTTCCCAGCCCTCCACCATTTCTTAATCACAAAAGGTTTAGTGTCACAGATGAGGAAGGAATGGGTTTTGCTCTGTTTTGTGAAAAGTACAGAAATGTTCATTTTCCTGGAATTTCCACTTCAGCTGTGCCTCACACCTCTCACCCTGGAGAAAGTAGAATCCATGTCATCATTTGCTGATCGACAGCCCAAGCACAAGGAAATAACTGGTCTCATTTTTTTTTATTATGAAAATACCGTATAGAGGGGGTTACAATTATATGGGCAAGATAATGAGTACTGGCCTCATTTTTAAAAACAAAACAAAGAGGAAAACTTTAGTTTCAAAAAATAAAATAAAAAAGGCCTTTATTCTTAGAACAATTTTAGTTTCCCAGCAAAACCTGGTAGAAAGTTCAAAGGTTTTCACTTCAGCTGTTTTCTCCGCCAACAAACATGAACAGTACCCCCACCCTCTCTATCATTTCTTACCCAAGCTGTCCACATGCTACAGCGGCTGAATCATCTCGATGGAACACTATTTTTGTGGTGTGCTGGCACTGGGGCTTCAATTCAGGATGTCCCATTCTTGCTTGGCTTGTTTTACTCAAGACTGAAACACTACCATTTGAGCCATACTTTATTACATTATTACTGAAAAATGTATACTTTACATTAGAGGACATTTTCTGTATAAGGGTAGTTCTGCTGAATTAGAATGTATCAGAAAGTATAGTAAGTCTGCTTTATTCCTGGATTTATTATAATTTGTTTTGCCAGTCCTGGAGCTTGAACTCAGGGCCTGGGCAGTGTATCTAAGCTTCTTTTGCTCAAGGCTAGCACTCTACCACTTGACCCACAGCGCCAATTCTGGCTTTTTCTGTTTATGTGGTACTGAGGAATTGAACCCAGGGCTTCATGCATGCAAGCACTCTGCCACTTAGCCATATTCCCAGCCCTATAATTTTTGACTAAATATAAAATAATAACAGTGGAGCACACTGGACATTGATGAAAGTGGAGATGGGAGGGAAGGAATGGGATAGAATGAGGGAACAGATGACACTGTGTGAAAGGAAATGTACTTATTACCTGACATATGAAAATGTAACCGCACTGCATAGCACCTCTAAAACAACAACATTAAGAACAAAATAAATTTCAAAAATAAAAGTTAAAAATTGCCTGGCTCCAGTGATTCACCCATGTAATCCTTCCTATTCAGGGGACTGAGATCTGAAGATTGCGGTTCAAAACCAGACCAGGCAAGAAAGCCTGTGAGACTCTTCAATTTACTACCAAAAAAAAGTAAGAAGTGGAGCTGTGGCTCAAGTGGTAGAACAAAAGAAGTTCAGGGACAGTGCCCAGGCTCTGAGTTCAAGCTCCAAGACTGGCACCAAAAAAAAAAGTCAAGAAATATCTTTTTATTTATTTTTTGCTTATGTGGTGCTGAGGAATCGAACCCAGGGCCTCAGGCATGCAAGGCAAGCACTCTACCACTGAGCCAACTTCTCAGCCCTCAAGAAATATCTTAAAGACAAAAGAAATTAAATTCCCATGCACATTAGGGCTTAGGCCATCGCACTCATTCTTGCAATCCTAGCTACTGTAGAATCTGAGACCTGGAGGATCAACTTTCCAAGCCAGCCTAGATAGAAAGATCTAAGTGACTCCATTTCCAATCAACTACAAAAACAATAACAAAAATAAAACAAAAAACTGATTCAGGCATGGCTCAAATGGTAGATTGCCAACCATAAGCAAGCAAGCTGAGTGAGATTGAAGCCAAGTTCAAAGCCTTGTACTAACAAAGTATAAATAAATAATTCCCATGCACGTATACCACTACTTAACTGAGATTGACAAGCTCTCAGTCAGTGCTGAATTATTGCCAACCAACTATGTTTAAATCATTCTGTGATCTGCTATTTCCCTGCCCTTCATTTTCAAAAATGTTGCCTCCAAAAAAAGCAAATGGTATCCGACAAGTAAGGATATGTTTAATGAAGCCATAAAGTAAAACTTCTTTACTTTTTTTTTTTTTGGTTGTTCATGGGGCTTGAACTCTGGGCCTACGCTCTGTCCCTGAGCTCTTCAGCGTTACCACTTGAACCACAGCACCACTTCCAGTTTTCTGGTGGTTAATTGGAGATAAAGAGTTTCACAGACTTTCCTGCCCAGGCTGCCTTTGAAACGTGATCCTCAGATCTCAGCTTTCTAAGTAGCTAGTATTACAGGCGTGAGCCACTGGTGCCAGGCTAAACTTTTTGATTTGTTGAAAGGATACATGTCTTTCATATCTTTAGAAGAAGGTAAGCACGATAATGTAGAGAAAAGAACCAAGCATGAACATGACAGTGCAGAGCTCAATACATCCTGAGCATCTGCAGGTTTTCCTCAAAGGCAAACCTGAAGATACCAAAGGTCTACAGTATTCTGCTTATCTTTTCTGGAATAGAATCTCTGAGGCCAGCATTACCTCAATACCAAAGACATTACCAAAAAAGAAAACTACAGAATAGTACCTGTCATGAGCAGATGTAAGCTATATTCTAGCAAATCAAATACAGCAAAAATCAGTCCTAAGGATTTGAGAATGGAAATTACAGACATAACTTTTCTCATGTTTTTATACACTCCCTAGGTGCTACAATTTATTCATATTTCTTTAGAGATGATTGAATTAAGGAGTTACTATAAATGGGGCACCAGTGGCTATCCCTTGTAATCCTAGCTACTCAGGAGGCTGAGATCTGAGGATCCCCAGTTTGAAGCTAGCCAGGACAGAATCCAAGCAACTCTTATCTCCAATTAATCACTAAAGTCAGACTTAGAGCTGTGGCTCAGGTGGTAGAGTGCCAGCATGAGTGAAAAAGCTAAGGGACAGTGCCTAGGTCTTAAATTCAAGCCCTAGTACTGGTATACACTATAGTGCTGAAGGCCTGACTCAGCAGTAGGGCATCTGCCTGGGAAACATGAGAACCTACTTTCTTCTTCTTCTTTTTATTTATTTTTTTGGTTGGTCGTGGGGCTTGAACTCTGGGCTCAGGTGCTGTCCCTGTGCTCTTCAGCTCAAGGTGAGCGCTTTACCGCTTGAGCCACAGCACCACTTCCGGTTTTCTAGTGGTTTATTGGAGATAAGAGTCTCACGAGCTTTCCTGCCCCGACTGGCTTTGAACCTTGATCCTCAGATCTCAGCCTCCTAAGTAGCTAGGATTACAGGCAGGAGCCACTGGCACAAGGCTTGAGAACCTACCTTCAAAGCATAGTACTCACCCAACCAAAAAAGAAAGAAAGAAAGAAAATTACTACAGTTAATTGATGCAATTAACTCATTCCATCTAAGATGGACCAGGTGTTGAATTTTTTTTTCAATCCCTGATTATAACCTAGTATTGTAAGTGTCCACTAGGTTTGATGGATAATGGAATTGAGATTTGTTGAGACAAGTCCAAAAGCTGTGATCTAATCAAAGCAGGGTCAGTAAACCTGGTTTGTAACCCTGATGCAGTTTCTTTAGTTCCAAATCTATGAAGCATGCAGACTAGTATATGTGATGCACTGAACAATGTCTCTAAAACCAGTGATTTTTGTTGTGTTGGTACAGGGGCTTTGAGCTCATGTCCTCACACCACCATAGTTTGGCATTTTTGCTCAAGGTTGGTGCTCTGCTACTTGAGCCACAACTCCATTTCTGACTTTTTTCTGGTTAAGTGAAAATAAGAGTCTCAGAGACATTCCTACCTGGACTGGCTTCTAACTGGGGTTCTCAGATGTCAGCCTCCTGAGTAGCCGGAATTACAGGTGTGAGCCACTGGCACCCAAAAACTAACCAGTGATTTTCTTTTTTTGGGGGGGTCGGGTCGTGGGGCCTAAACTCTGGGCCTGGGCACTGTCCCTCAGCTCTTCAGCTCATAGCCAGTGATTTTCAAGCTGTTTATCACTTAACAGATGTTGTGGCTTAAGAGCATTTTAAACACTAAAATAGGCATAGATATATCAAAATACTTGCTCAAGTAGCCTGGGGGAATACTTTCTTCAACCTTTAGTTTCAAGGTACTTTGGGTTTTTTTGTGTGTGTGTGTGTGGTGGTGGTGGTGGTGTGTATGTGTGTTTGTCAGTCCTGAGACTTGAACTCAGGGCCTAGGCACTGTCCTTGAGGTTTTTTGGGTGGCTAATTGGAGATGAGAGTCTCGCAGAAGCAGGGCACCAGTGGCTCACCTCTAATCCTCTACCCAGGAGGCTGAGATCTGAGGATCACAATTTAAGCCGCCAGGGCAGAAAAGCCCGTGAGACTCTTACTTCCAATAAACTACTCAGAAAAAGGCGGAAGTGGGTCTGTGACTCAAGTGGTAGAGCACTAGCCTTGAGCACAAAGAGGCTCGGGGACAGAGCCCAGGCCCTGAGTTCATGCCCCAGGATTTGCGGATGGGAGGGGGGAGAGGCGGGAGTGAACGTTTCACAGACTTCGCTGCCCGGGCTGGCTTCGAACTGTGATCCTCCAATCTCAGCCTCCTAACTAGCTAGGATAACAGGCGAGGGCCACCAGAGCCCGCCCTTGATTCAAGTTTCTTGATGTGCCGACTGAGTCATGTAGGAAATGTGGGTATGTAGGAAATGTCGGTACGGTTCTTGAGGCATGGTTCGAAGCGTTTTCGACGCTCTGACGTGGAGGGGAGCGCAGGTGCTCTGGTAATTAAATAGCACAGAGACAAAGCTGGCGCTGGAAGACCCCGCGTCTATAAAAGGAAGCCAACTTGTACTTAAATACTAGTTCAAGACACGCCCCCCACAGGTAAGAGAGCGGATTGGCCAATCCGGGAGGGGCCCGCCCACAATGCTCGTGAGCCAATGGCTGCGCAGCAAGAGCAGGGCGGGGCGCGGGGAGGCTCGCGCGGGCTCCTAAAGTAGCGGCTGCGTGGATGCCCTGGCACAGGGTTTCTACGACGGCCGACGGGGCGGGCGGGGTCAGAGCCCCACGGAAACTACGGGGCACTCGCGGGATCTTTCTCAGAACCATGTCCAGACAATCGGCAGGAGCCAACGCCCCCCGCTGGGTCGTTGCTTCCCGCCGGAGCTCCGCAGGGTACCGAGCTCAGGAGCAGCGGCCGGCGGGGGAGCCCAGTAGAAGAGGTCGCGGAGGAAGTCGGGGCAGGCGAGGTGGAGAGTGGAGGGAGCCTTCCGGGGCCCCGGAAGCCGGGTCGGCTGGCCGTCGGGAACCGCCGCTCTGCTTCCGACTGAAGAACGACCTGGTGGGCGTCGTGATCGGTGAGGCGGGGAGAAGGGGTGCGGGGGCGGGGGCCGCCCTGGGGCGGGGCGGCTCGGCGAGGTGCCGCCTCCTCACCTGCTCAGGCTCCAGTCGCCTTTTGTTTTGAGGAGAGCACCGAGAAATCCGCGGGATTTAGTGGGGAGCTGCTCGGAACATCTGCCGTGCCTTGCACTGAGTTCAACTTTACCTGCGATCATTGATCTGCTGGAGAATGACATGCTGTTCTATGTTAACTTACAAATCCATTTAAAAAACACTTTTAAATGATTACAATGACTGGGCATAAATTACAACACTTTGCTCTTAAGGTATTAGTGTTCACTTTTTTCCTTTTGTGATGGTACTGGTGGGGCTTGAACTCAAGGCTTCATTCTCTTGTTTGGAGGCTGATTCTATACCATTTAAACCACACTTCCACCTCCAGAATTTTGCTGGTTACTTGGAGATAAGATTCTCTTTAGATTTGTCTGCCCAGGCTTTCTTTGAATTCAGATCTCATCCTCCCAAATAGGTATTTTTGCAGATCTGAGTCACCCTCGACTGGGTTAGAGTTAATAACTCTGGGGGGGGGGGAGGGTGGGTGCGCGTGTATGTGTGCCTGCCTGTTACTAGAGCTTGAACTCAAGGCCTAGGCACTGTCCCTTAGCTTTTTCGCTCAAGGCTAGCTCTCCACCACTTGTGCCATGGCTCTACTTCCTGCTTTTAGGTGGCTAATTGGGGGATAAGAGTCTGACAGACCTTTCTGCCTGGGCTGGCTTCTAATCGGGGTTCTCAGATCTCACCCTCCTGAGCAGGTAGGATTATAGAAGTGAGCTTGAACTCAGGGCCTGGGTGCTGTCTCTTGGTTTTTGTTGCACCCTACCATTTGAGCCACAGCTCTACTTCTAGCTTTTTGGAGATAAGAGTCTCAAGGGCTTTCCTGCCTTGGCTGGCTTTTGAACCAAGATCTCAGATCTCAGCCTCCTGAGTAGTAAAGATTACAGGTATGACCTTGCCTATTTTTAAGCCTGTGGTACAATAGTCATGATGAACACAATGTTCTGCTACAGAACTCCCAAGACTTAAAACTATACCAGAACTAAGCAGTGGCGGCTCATGCCTGAAATTCTAGCTAATGGGGAGGCTGGCTTTGCTTCCTGATCCTCAGATGGGAGCCTTCTTAGTAGCTAGGATTACAGGCATGAACCACTGGACCCCACTTGTTCATACTACTAGTATGAATACAACACAACTATTTGTTTGACTCCCTGCTTTGAATTCTTTTGAATGAATTCTTTTGGATGCTTTTAAGTTTTTTGAACCCAGAAGTAGGACTGGTGAATTCTGTGACCATTTGTTGTTGTTGTTACTGTTTTTAAAGAATTCCATACTATATGACATAGCAGTAGGGACATGATATAACCAGTAGGTTATACTGACTTACAGTCACATAGATTTCAGTTTCTCCAATCTACATCTGTGAAGACTCAGGATCTATGTTGAGGAGGCAGAACGATGCAGGCTCCAGCCTCAGGATTATCTGAGGACTGTGTTTAGGATTAGGAAAGCTCTTGGAACACCAGGCTAGAGAGGGAAAATATTCTCTCTCCCTATCTCAAAACACATGTCACAGACTCCTGGGAGCTGAGAAAGTAGCTCTTCCTGCTTGCTTAAGCATAGATGGTCAAGCATTTTCCTGAGATTGGAGAAGTGGTTTGAGCTTGTTCTAAAATAGTTTAGATAATAATATACCTAGACATTGTCTCATAGGTCAAGCAAAAATGTATCTGTGGAAATTTTTTGTGTGAATGTCTTCTGACCAAATGTTGGCAAAGATTATGCTTGCTTGTCTTTAAATACCCACTAACAATAAAGCACAGCATGCAGTGGCAATTGCTGTTTGCACGCTGTATCCCCTGTGTCCTGGTGATTTTGTGACCCTTACCCAGGGACCCCAACGCACTAGACGTTGACACATATCAATAAAAAAAATTTACTAGTGGCCATAGAGCATAGAGCTCTCAGTGATAATGTTTGCTTACCATTGTAAGCCCCTGATTTCAAATCTCAAATTAGAATGGGCAAACTCACTAGGCACTGGTGACTCAGGCCTGTAATCCTAGCTACTCAGGAGACTAAGATCTGAGAATCAAGATTCAAAGCCCAGGCAGGAAGGTCCATGAGACTCTTACCTCCAATTAACCACCAAAAAAAAAAAGCCAGAAGTGGAGCTGTGGCTCAAGTGATCAAGCACTAGCCTTGAGCACCAAAGTGCCTAGGCCCTGAGTTCAAGCCCCAGGACCAGCACAAAAATGGGGAAAGAGATCCTGCTGGATGCATGTAGCTTACACCTGTAATCCTAGCTAGTTGAGAGGCTGAGATGTAAACATGGTTCAAAGCATCAAGGGCAGAAAAGTCCAGGAGACTCTTTATCTCCTATTCACCAGCAAAAAGACAAAAATGGAGGTGTGGTTCATGTGTAGAATGCTAGACTTAAGCAAGAAACTCAAGGGTTGAGAGGCCCTGAGCTCAAGTTCCAGTACTGGAACAAAAGAAAGAATGGGTATCCTAACAGGAATGAGGCAGTCTTTTACTGTAGTTTCTATATGCATTTACCTGATTAGTATGTTGAACATGGTATAGACTTGCTGACCATTTGTGTATCATTGGAGATATATCTATTTTGTGTGTTCAAGTCTTTTGCTATTTTTCTTTTCTTGTTTTTCTTGTAAAGTTGAGGATAGTATCCAAGAACTCAGGTGTTTTAAGTATTTGCTCTATCACTGAACCTTACTCTAGTCCCCATAGCCTTTAGTGTGTGTGTCATACTGAAAATTGAACCAGGATCTCAAAGGCAGAGTACCATAAATAAATAAACAAGAAAAAAGGAGAGGACGAGGAAGAGAGAGGGGGAGAGGAGAGGACTAAAAACAGAAGTAGAACAGGGGATGATGGTGCTGGGAAGGTGGCTCAGTGGTAGAGTGCTTGCCTTGCATGCATGAGGCCCTGGGTTCAATTCCTCAGTACCACATAAACAGAAAAAGCCGGAAGTGGTGCTGTGGCTCAAGTGGTAGAGTGCTAGCCTTGAGCTGAAGAGCTGAGGGACAGTGCCCAGGCCCAGAGTTCAAGCCCCATAACCAACCAAAAAATAAAGAAAGGGAATGAGGCTTTGCCCAGGTTTGCCTCAAACCTATATTTTTCCTGCCTCTCTTTTCAAGTAGCTGGGATTATAGACATGTTCCACTATACTTGACTTTGCGCTTTTTTTTTTTTCTGGTCAGTTGTGGGGCTTGAACTCAGGGCCTAGGCACTATCTCTGAGCTCTTTTTGCTCAAGGCAAGCACTCTACCACTTTGAGCCACACCACGTCCAGATTTTTTTTTTTTGCTGGTCATGGGCCTAAACTCTGAACCTAGGTGCTGTCCCTCGGCTCTTCAGCTCAAGTTTAGCACTCTACCACTTGAGCCACAGCACCACTTCTGGCTTTTTCTGCTTATGTGGTGCTGAGGAATCAAACACAGAGCCTCATGCACGTGAAGCAAGCACTCTACCACTGAGCCATCTTCCCAGCCCTCTCTTCCAGTTTTTTGATGGTTCATTGCAGAGCAGAGTCTCACAGACTTTCCTGCCTAGGATGGCTTCAAACCATGATCCTCAGATCTGAGCCTCTTGAGTAGCTAGAATTACAGGTGTGAGCCACTTGCACCCAACCTTTAGTTTTAGGGGTTTTTTTTTCTTTTTTTATTGTAAAAATGTTGTACAGAGGGGGTACAGTAACATGAGTAAGGTAATGAGTACATTTCCTATCGAATATTGTTACCTCCTCTGTTTTTCCCCTCCCATCCCTTCCCTCCCTATCTCCCCAACTCCTCCCCCCTCCCTTGTTTTAGTTTTTTAATACCAGTACTAGGGCTTGACCTTAGGATCTTGGCACTGGTCCCTTAGCTTTTAAGGCTGGTGCTCTACCACTTGACCCATTTCTTCCAGCTTTTTGTTTGAGATGAGAGTCTCGTGGATTTTTCTGCCTTAATTAGCTTCAAACCTTGATTCTCACAACTCAGTTTCCTGAGTAATTGGCCTTTTCTTTTTTTGCCAGTCCGGGGGCTTGAACTCAGGGCCTGGGTACTGTCCCTCAGCTTCTTTTTGCTCAAGGCTAGCATTCTACCACTTGAGCCACAGCACCACCTATGGCCTTTTCTGTTTATGTGGTACTGAGGAATCGAACCCAGGGCTTCATGCCTGCTAGATAAGCACTCTACCACTAAGCCACATTCCCAGCCCTAATTGTCCTTTATTGTGGGGAGCAGTACTGAGGTTTGAACTCTGGGCTTTGTACCTGATAGACAGGCACACTACTGCTGAGCCATGCCTTTAGCCATACCTTTCTTTTTAAAAACAGGTCGTGGAGGGACAAAAATACGAGAAATCCAAAATACAACAAACACCAGAATACAGGTAAATCATTTTTGTACTTAAGCCCTCAAAGTATTGTTCATTCAACTTGTTTTTCTACTTAGTTCATTAATATACTGTAGAATAAGTTGTCAGAACTTTCCATACAATGTTATCCAGAATTTATCTGGATTATAATTTATCTGGTCAGGTTTAAGTTTTGTGACTCTTACAAGTAAGGTAATCCTAGCTGTTCAAGGAGGCTGAAATCTGAGAATCGCTGTTCAGAGCTAGCCGAAGCAGAAAAGTCCTTGTGAGACTCTTATCTCCAATTAATCACTCAAAAATGGGAAGTGGCTCTATGGCTCAAGTGATAAAGCACTAGCCTTGAGCACAAAGAGGTTCAGGGACAGCACCCAGGCCCTGAGTTCAAGCCCTACAACCCACAAAACAGAGGAGGAGGAGGAAGAAAAGGGAAAGAAGCTTCAGATAGCTGGGTGTTGGTGGCTTACACCTGTAGGCCTAGCTACTCAGGAGGTTGAGATCTAAGGATCATGGTTTGAAGCCAGCCCAAGCAGGAAAGTCCATGAGACTCTTACCACCACTATACCAAAAGTAGAAAGTAGAACTGTGACTCAAGTGGTAGATAGTGCCCAGGTCCTAAGTTCAAGCCCCATGACCAGCACAAAAGAAAAAAGAATCTTCAGATATACTCTCCATTTAAAATAGTATTAGGCAGGGCTGGGAAAGTGGCTCAGTGGTACAGCGCTTGCCTTGCATGCATGAGGCCCTGGGTTTGATTCCTCAGCACCACATAAGCAAAAAGAAAAAAGCCGGAAGTGGCGCTGTGGCTCAAGTGGTA